ACAAAAACCAATCAGAAGGAAGCAAAAGGCAATGCTGCCAGCAGCGAGACACTGATCTGCACCTAACAGAACCATTCCTAAAAGTATAATTTTTCCTCTCTTGACTTTTCCCCATTTTTGTCCTCCCACTCCACGCAAGAGGGCATACAACGAGGAAATTACATGCCACATAGATCTATTAAGGCTGCTAGTACGAACAGCCTTGGTTATATACTTTCCCGCTGAGAAAAAGCTAAATGTAACCATTTCCCATCTCCAGTTCTTCAAAACTTGTGCAGACAGTATACATTTAAGAAGAATGCCCATCTTGTCAAGTGGCATTAGTAACAAACTGACACATTATTTTGCCTTTAAATATATAAACATTTTTACAGCAACTCCACTTCAATACACTATAATACAATCCATTAAAGCAATCATATGATTGTATGTTATGCACTGGTGGGTATTTTCCGATACAAACAAAATCCTGACTTCTCGCACAGCACCCCACAAAAAACAAATAGCAAACAGTGTAAAATGCATCTAGACTCTTTTTTCTTTTCAGAATTAAGGGTAGAAGTATGGGAATAGTATGGCAGGAAGTTGCAGGAAGAAGAACAAAGCAAAGACTTAGACCAAAACAGGAGCTAAAATGACACGAAAAGCTTCAAACATTCCCTTTTATTTGAAATGTTCTGTACTTAAAGCCAATTATGATAAAAGAGAGCACTATGGGTCTCACTCATTTTATTCATTCCTTCTTTTTCACTTAGGCAGAGACAGGTCTCTCCTTATCACTGCCAGAAATCCCAGACAAAAACCCAAACCTTTGATTATAAACATACACATCCAAAACTTGGCAGATGTTGTCCCTGATAGCTTACCTCTAAGGATAATCTTCAGAAATGTAGCTAAATTCTTTAGAGCCTCCTACTTGCAGTCCCCAACTCACTTAAGACCTATTTAGTTATCAGAGGGAAGTAAACAAGATGTTTCTTACAGTGCCTGCAGCTTACACCCTTCCTGACCTCCAGCAAGACGTACCCAGACTTGCCCGCTGCAATACGGGATGAACGCCGCTGCTCCCAGGCCATGGGCTCACATTTTTTTCTGTATTCAGCAGAGCTGACAGAATTCAGCACTGTATTCCTCCCCTTGTTACTCATCATGTTCACGCCACAGTTTAACCCCAGGGAATGATGTGGGAAGACAGAAGATTGTCTGTAAGCAACCCATAATTCTCTAGCTACATTAACCTGGTGAGCGCACACAGCTTAAGCAGGTGGTCTGAACTAGCCTTTCCAACTCTGCCCAGCCATGCAGCAGAGCTGGGGAACATGGGGATTTTGGGCATTTAACAGGCCTAGCCAGATGCAGAAAAGGACCCATGTCCACGGCTATACAAAAGCAGGATGGCAGTTAGCTATTCCAATTCCACCCCCAGGGGAAAAAAGGTCCTGTGCATACCTCAGTTCCATTTCAACCTGCTTGGTTTAAAATTAAACAATTTATTTGCAACTGCTGTTCCCCAAAAGCACCTTAATTTGGGGACTGGAACGCTCTCCCCTTCACACTGTGCTTCTGTAACAACTGATCAGACCCAGCACTGACACCTGTATACTGTGGAGATTACACTTCTTGTTAATTGGCCATGTTCAATATTAAGAAGAGTAGCAGGATAAATAGATTAGGCTGGTTCTGTACAAGCCATGGTGGCAGATGAAAAGAACACTGAACAGCGAAAATGAAGGAAACATGAAATAAGCAAATTACACAGACACAGGATTAGTTCAGGCTTTCTGTTGATCACAAGAACTGGATTTTATCACTCCAGATAAGACATCCCACACTGTCACCGATTCAAAGCCTATCCGCAGTGATTGCACTTCTTGTACCAGTGCATATGGGCATGACTGCAGTTACAGTCTGTACGTTACAATTTTAAGTGCTTGATGTTACAAGCATACAGTAAGCATTTTAATATGGCCAGGTACTGAGTCACACATCTTGGAAGCAACAAGACAAGCAATACCTACAGAAACGGAGCAGTGATTTGAAAAGCAACAATTCTAAAAAATGATACAAGGCTCTCGGCTGAGAAGTCGTCTAGACACAAGCTCCTAATGGTGAAAAGGGGCTATGCCTAACAAAGCATATAGTATTTCTTTTTGATTTGGTGCTCATATAGCTCGTGTGCCCTTTGCTAACATTCACATTTCCATAGGAACGTGAATAATCTCGAAAAGGTTCAGAGAAAACAGACACGTGAGAACACTTCTGGGTTAGAAAGCACCAAGCTCTCAGTGGTTCAGCATATACAGGCTTTTCAGGAGACAACTATGAGTTACTTTGACTTCAACCTATATATTCCTACAGGGAAACAGAACAGAAACAACATCAGTCCAGCGGACAAAGCCTATAACTGCTACTAAGACTGGAAATTACCATTTGGAAATCTGTACCAGACATAAAGCAGAATCTTAAGGGAGAAGACAATTACTCAAGGATTTTACCAGAGAAAGTAGTGGGGGTTCCATTATGTGCTATTCAAAAATCAAGAATGGATGTTCTTTTCAAAAAAGCCGTGTTTTTGTCTTAAGCAGCCCATGAATATCCTGTGTGTCATACAGAGTCTCAGACTAGGCAAACACAAATCTCCCCTCTGGGCATATAAGCTATTAATACATATTTCTGAATTCATGCAGACTGAATAAACCGAGAAAGATATGTATGTCAGTGAAAAAATACCCTGGTGACTAAGCAACTATCTTGTTCCATAAATCCAACTAATATTCCACAGGTTGTTCTGCTGATATAGACTGCAAATCAGGTCAGGATTATCATCACATGCAACTGTTCCTGAGAGACTGATAATGAGATCAGGAACTAAAAGTACAAGAGCCTCAGCTAGAAGAGACTTGAACGAAGGATCCCAGCTCTGCTCCAGCATTCTGCAGACAGGGGCATACTAAGTCGTTCTATATCATGAGCCAAATGCAATAACTGTCACAGTATTCACCATGACGCAAAGCAAAATTTCCTTCTAAGGCAGAGGTTACACAGCTTAGTGCAGTAAGACCAAATACAAACTTGAGAGATCACAGTCGAACACACTCAGTTAATATAAACACTTTTCTCAGCACAGTAGGCAAGAAGCATTCAGCTCTACCTGCTTGCTACCACTGGCAACAATCCCCTGTTTCTGTTCAGTTTTTGTTTTGTTTTGCATCACAGATGGACCATTTACTTGTAGGTATCATTTTTCAAGAATTTATTCTGTATAATCACAATTATCAGACTAAATGATGCTTCTGTGGTTCATAAAACTGTGTAAGACTGATATTCTCATGCCAATGAAGAGAAAAGGAAAGAAAATGTGAGACAGGTGTTCTCACACTGTCATACTGTTTGGTCCTACGTATGGCACAGCATGTACTGATCAGTTCCTTTTTCAGTTGACAAGAGGCTTAAAATCAGGTCTTTTTAGGCAGGAGGGAAGGCATACAGAGTATACGGGCACACAGAGCTAGGGGTAACTTGGAGAAAACCTAGCTACTAGTAAGTGCTTCTCTTTGAAAACTGCATGAGACAGACACTCCCAGGTGCGGCAGCCTGGAAGAGCAGCAAGGTCCTGCACCTGGGTCAGGGCAACCTCTGGCATCAGTACAGGCTGGGGGATGAAGGAATGGAGAGCAGCCCTGCTGAGAAGGACTCTGGGGTAACTGGGGATGAAAAGCTGGACACAAGCAGACCATGTGCACCTGCAGCCCAGCAAGCCAACCATGCCCTGGGCTGCATCCCCAGCAGCGTGGGCACAGGGCGATGGAGGGGATTCTGCCCCTCTGCTCTGCTGAGACCCCCCAGGAGCCCTGCGTCCAGCTCTGGAGCCCTCAGCACAGGACAGACCTGGAACTGTGAGAGCGGGGCCAGAGGAGGCCACAGCAATGATCTGAGGGCTGGAAGCCCTCTGCTGTGAGGAAAGGCTGAGAGAGTTGGGGCTGTTCAGCCTGGAGAAGAGAAGGCTCCAGGGAGACCTTATTGCAGCCTTTCCGTACTTAAAGGGGGCTTATAAGAAAGATGGGGACAGGCATTTTAGCAGGGCCTATTGAGATAGGACAAGGGGTAACAGTTTTAAACTGAAAGAGGGTAGATTTAGACTGGGTATAAGGAAGAAAATTTTTACAATGAGAGTGCTGAGGCCCTTGCACAGGTTGCCCAGAGAGGTGACAGATGCCTCATCCCTGGAAATATTCAAGGTCAGGTTGGATGGCGCTCTGAGCAGTCTGATCGAGTTGAAGATGTCCCTGCTCATTGCAAGGGGTTGGACCAGATGGCCTTTAAAAGTCCTTTCCAACCAAAAGCATTCTATGATTCTATGATGGAGCTCCAGAAAAAGACAGTGGACAAAAAGTAGAGACCACTGTGAGCTTAACAACAGAATATACTTAAGCTTGGTGCAAATACGACCAAATCTCAGTGTTGTTACTCTGCAACTCTCATCTGCAGATGGGAGACAATGCAGGAATTGCAATATTCAAGAAAAAACCCTCTGATATTATTACAGGGCTATAAAATGAGATGGAACACTTCTAGGGTTTCTAGGGGAACACAACTTGCAGTTAAAAATGCAGCATGTTTTTGGTTGCAGATATAACAAAATACATAACTGAAAGACACCTTTGCTTATCACTGATTAAAGTTCACAAAGCCTCTGACACCTTCAATTTCCCACTACTTTTAACAGCTTCTGCATTTTCCAAAATTATTGTGATATCAAGACTATAAGAACTTTTTATTCTATCAGAAAGGTGTGCATAAATAGCAAAGGATCCCCATCAATCTAGACGCAAGCTTCCTCATCAGAAAGACTTCAAAATGTTCAATTATTTAAAAATGTTTATTTTCAGAAAAAATAATTTAATAGCTTTATAGACAAGAGATACTTTTAAATCTAGAGTTGTGCTTTATTATACAGATCAAAACAAATTTGCTCAAGTATATGAGTATTGAAAACTCACCTTCCAGAAATTATCTACTTTGCCATAAACGAGAGATTGGTTCTGCCTTTTGATGTCATTAATGTGTTTAATGTCACTGGAATTCAGATGCTGCTCTACCACAAACCCAAGGAAGCTGTTATCCGGAGTGTGAGCTGTAAGAAACAGAGCATATTCAAAACCTTTTGAAGTATCAGTTAATGTTAGAAAAGTGTGAATGTTGTCAGAAAACTAGGTATAAGGAACACACTATTCAACAGACCACTTCCTTCACTTTCATACTGAGAGATACACTTGCTTGCTTTATTATCTGGAATAGTTCTTATTAATTTTAGTCCTGCTGCATATGTCTACTGAAGTAAGCAGTTATTTTCTGGCTTGTTTCTGGCAATAAAAATTCTGTAGCTGGACCAATGCCAATAATAAATGATTTTGTGTGTGCTAAGCTCTATTTTCTTATGAGAGATAAGAGAACCAGAAGAAATCCAGCTTGACAATCTCAGAGATGTAATACCAATAATTTGAAAAACCCTGCTTTTATGCTAGTTAACAAAGTCGTATGTTGTTCAATGTCACAAATAAATTGTAGTAAGTTTCTTGGGTTTACCTTCTAAATTGGAAGAGCTAACACCAACCATCCAACTCACTGCATATTATGTATCCATGCTACTTGCTAGCCTACAAAGTCACACTATGCAGATCAGAATACAAATTTCACTGCCTAATTCATTCAGATACATCTATTGTTGTAAGTGAATTGTTGCATTAATCCAGTGCCCAGACAAAAAAAAGTACATGCAAAGGATATGCAATTTACTCTTAGTTTTCTATATTATTTTTGGCCTCTGTCAGCCTTTTTCCAGCAGTGACATCCATCAATACTAGTCACTGTTCTCCTCCTCACAGACCTATAGGCTCATTAAAATGAAGGGGTTTTGTTGGTTTGGGTCTTTTTTCCTTTTTGTAGACAGGGTGTTTAATTCCAGGGATGGATTTCAACATTCAAGGCTTCAGGTACAAATCCATCCCTACTACATAAAAATTACTCCAACATGTGGGATTTTTGTGCCTCTCTAAAAAGTGTCATACCCTCGGAAGTTCACATAGAAACAGGCTGCAATAAACACTAGGATCACTTCTGTAAGTCTGCCTTTTAAATTCTGGCACACAAGCTGACAACTTCTTACTAAGGACACTTTGAAAAGTTAAAAAAACCCCAAAGACAACGCCCCAGGCGTTTATGCTGCATGCAATGCTAAACCTATGGTCCGAGTTCTAAAAAAATAAATAAATAAAAAAAATTCTATTGCAATTACGAGGTTTTGCTTTTTGATTGCTGAAAATCAGCCAACTGGATAATGCAGTGGAACAGAGAAACCACACACAGCATACGCTTCCCTCTGCCACTGCATTTAGTCTTTCAAATGACTATTACTCTTTTTCACAAAAAATGCCTCAGCAACAGCTAGGCACCCACTTAGACCCAAGGACTTTTTAGAATTTAGCACAGCAAATGGCACGTTGCAAATATGCCTGAAAGGGGAATTTTTCCATCCTTTCATATTTTTGGATGAGAGATTGCATTCAAAGGAGAGGCAAGGCAGTATACACTCAAAAGAAAAATAAACCTTTGTTAAAGTTAGCACTTAGAACTGGTGGAATTCAGTGCCTCAAACATCACTGACAGGAAGCACTCGGATGGATTTTTAAGCAAGATCATGCAGTTTTAAAAGTACCAGTGCTGTTATTTTGCATAAAAGAATTTAAATAAAACACATAAAAAGGGGAAAAAACCCTCATGTCTCTGGAAAGCTCAGAGAACAGTCAAGCACTTGGTAATATGCCAAAGGTTTGAATATGCCTTGCTTGCTCCTCAGTAATAATTTTCTGCCCTTATAATCAGAGTTCTCAAAACATAACAGAGTCTGGGGATCCTGGGAACGTGTCCAGTGTTCCAATCTGTCCTAAAATCTTTACTGATGCATAACATGCCCTTCTAATCAGACCCTACAAAGATCGTGCTCTCTCTGCAGCAGAGAGCTAAGAACAAAAATAAACCTTATATATTAAATATGGAAGAACACTGACTCTTCTGCACTTAGTACAAAAAGAAGTAATATCTTTCAATAACTTCTAGCACTGGAATCATTCATGCTTCAGAATGAGTTTGCCTGCTGTCTCTTTACCACTCTTCCTGCAAAGGAAAACTAGCAGTCATTTCAGTAGTAAAAACTGGAAATGGTTATTTATTGAAATTCCAGCGTAGTCATACTCTTCTGAAAATTCATTATGAAGTGACTTGCTTCGAATAAGAGACTACAACAGTAGCCTATACTGCCACAACAGAGATCATGCCTAAAGAGAAGATTTACTTTCTTCTGCATTTCATGGAAGGGGGATTGAGGAGGGCCCACACACAGCTGTACCACAAGTATTCACACAACTATTTTCCTCAAGCGCATCATCAGCCATGCTGCTATCTTGAACAAGACCTCACTCACAAATTTCCCAGCAGCTGGACTACTTAAATACAGCATGATTGAGTGTTCGGCTCCTTTTTTATGTTTAGGACATACACTAATAAATATTAGCAAATCATGTGGCTATGGAACAAGCTCTGCTTACTAATGCCCAGACACAAACTCTGCAACCACTTCCAAGTCACATTTCCCTACCACGCGTTTTGTAACTCGCTTTGAAACAACTGTGAATGCAGTCTTTTTATCTTTTGAACAACCTTCACTTATATTTCTCTGGAAAAACTTGCACAGCAAATGTTGACAGACAAAATATGCCTCTCTCCAGAATTTTACAGGGCAACTCAAATGAAAAGCATGTGACCCAGACAGCAGCATGTGTAATTCTGCCATGAAAAGCAGAAAAGTTTGAAAGCATCAACTCTGAAGCCTGACAAGAGAGAACAGTGCATGCCCTGGCCTTAGCCTTGGACGAGGACCACCACCAAACTCTGGAGGTCAGGCTGGTCACTACCACGTGTTTCTTTACAGACTTGGGCTGAGAAGTTGCTGCACGCAACCACACAACAGCACGCACTTTCCTCTTTCCTAAGACTCACTTACCCTCAAGCTAGCTGGCGGCAGTGAATCTTTCTGCACCTCTCCAAGATAACAAATTTGAACCACTACTACAGCATGCAAAAGAGAAAGATCTTTTGATTCTAGAACCTAGTGCCATAAAGTCAAAGACTAGGGCTGGGGCAGGTCACTGCAATCATTTAATCTGACCAAGTTTATACAGAATTTATGTTTTTTTTCTGTTTCATTTCTTTTTTTTTTTTAAAGATATTTAACAATGCTTCAAAGATCTACAACAATGCTGAAATCTACTACTTGTTTTTCAATAGCTTTGCACACTGCTGGCAAAAAAGTGTGAACTGGTTCATCTCAAGATGAATGCTCAGAACACGAAAAAATAAGCTAGGCAAAAATTTTGAGAAATCCACAAAAAAATAGAGACAAAAACCTATTTTTGCTGAGTGCTAGTTTATTAATATCGAATACAAAGAAACAGTGAAGGAACTGTGCTGCTCAGTTGTTGAGAGAAAAAAGGAAAAATACAACAACATAGTTACGAACTTCAGTTTAACATGATGAAATGCAAGACTGCAGTTTATAAAAATGCAATCTAGCAAGTTCCTCAAAAACCTATCACTCCATAGCAGGATTTGAGAAGATAAAACTAACAAAGCCAAACTCACTGACACTTGAAAGAAAAGCCATTCACCATTTTCCACAGGTACCCTGAGAATACAGTTCCCTACCATTATTTATATAAGCTGATATTGTTATTTTCTGATTGCTCAGTGGAAACACAATAGAGCTTTTGCATTGTCTATAGACATGATTCTGCCCATTTAGCAGATGCATGTTATTAAACAATTAATTTGTCTTTCATAATACAAAAATTCTTCTCAATGACTGCATTCCTTTTTAAAACTCCAAATTATTTATAAACACAAGGGTACTTACGGAACATTGTATAAAACTGCTGTGGGTTAAGGTTCCACTTTCCCCATGGTGTCTTGTGGCCTTTAGACTGGGCATAATGGGCATGGTTAAACTCTGGTTCAGTTCCAAAGGAATCCAGAACTCTTAGCATACACCTAGAACAAAAAAAAAATTGCTGTAGGTACATATGCATATACGAATGTATAAGGATGTGTGTATATATACACAGTTATGAAAATTAAGATGTATTTTGTTTTTGTTTGCAACTGTGGATGATTTATAAACTGAAGGTACATTTTAATTTCAAACATTTCTGTTCATTTAACATTCACAAAGTCATTACGATCACCAAATTCAAGGACATATCAGACATTCAAACAGCAACCCTGGAGCTTATTTTGGTTTTCTTTGTTCTTACAGAATGAAGTTATGCTTTAACATCCAAGCAGAGCTTATGGGAACGCTACTGTGGTCACCCACATTCCTGGGGCTCTGAAGTATAATTCAGGCAGAGGAGGAGAGGATTCTTCATCTATTTTCTAATGTTCTTGCCCGTTAGTACAAAATCAATGCAATAGCCAACAGCCACGTGCCAAGAAGATGAGAGCAGAATAGTGCTCTGTCTTTAGACAATTGTATTTAGTCTTCAGGTTCTGACTTTTGGGTCAATTAGACCTACCGGAGAAGTACTGAAGACAATCTGATTTGCTGAAAGCTTGCAGTCAGACAGACCATTTATTTGTTTATGAAACATTTCATCACAGACTTTTGAAGAAACAATATAAAAGTCAAATGTTTGCAACAACCAGTCTACAACTGAGAGAAACCTTGGCATTGGATTACTAAGGGTCTGGGATGAGAGAATCTCACTCAGTCCTTTATTTAAACTTCTATTAATTCCTTGAAGAAGAATAACTTCATTTACGAGTGGCTTCTTTCAAAAAGGAACACAGTACATGAAAGGCAGAAAAAGTCTCGGTATGAAGAAGAGGGCACATATTCCAGCATACAGATTCTAGAAGTTATGTTTCCAAAACGCAGCCTGCCAAACCTTTGATGTGGCTCGGACAGGAACTGTATGGCCATCATACTGACCACTGGCTCCACTGCAAATGAATTGGACTATATGGCTCCAGAGCTGCTGACCCTATCATTCTCCAGCCCTCCACAAACAAAATTTCCGGAAAAGACTTATACAGGACATCTTCCTACATCATGTGCCACTATGCTATAAAGACATGAACTCTTATCACTGCACGTTGTACCACTGGGCTTGTACGTGCTGAGGAAGAGACACAACCTCACGGGTGGCAGAGAATGGAGGTAGCTGCAAAAGTTACTAATAAAAATGGCTATATTTCCCAGTCTTCAACATTTCCCATGCTCCAAGCCCATATATTTGTTCAGTAAAACACCAGGATTTTGGCTTTAAAATGTGAAAGAATTTAATCCCCAAAAATACATTCATTCACATATTTCTTACATGTTACTCCTTCCTCTGAAGTGTCCATTAAATTGGGAAATAGAAAAAAAAAACACCCAGCAACTTTCAAATTCTCATATGAAATGCCACCGTTGTACTTGAAAGTACAAATAGAGCAAATTTACTTCTCTTTAAATCTTCAGAGATCTCTCAAGCAAAAAGAAAGTCAAAATACACAACACATTATGATTCACCAGACAACAAAGCTGACAGATCAGTTTCTGTGCAGTGTTTTATGTCAACCGTTCTCAATGAAAATATTTTACAACAGTGGCAATTATCTCTACATCATACAAAATACTCCAGCAGGACCAAAACAAATTCTGCACTGATGAATCACTCCGTAATAAAAGCCCTCTTCTTTCTTGGCAGGCCTTAAAACAAAATTCTTATCGAATAATACAGCTTTTGGCCAGGTACTTACGTACAGGGAAATGAAAAATGGGTGAAAGCTACTGAAAAACTCCAACATTAGTAGAGTTTGTCAAATTATACACGTAAGGAGCACTGCATCACATGCAATCACCTCAAAGTTCCTTGTTTCCTCTCTTTTTCCTGTATTCAGATGTAAGGTAAGTAGCACTAATTGGTCATAAGGATATGTGTAACCATGTCCAATACAGACAGGGTCTCTGAAGCAGGACAGGAAACGTGAGGCAATGGAAACTAAGCTCCGTCAGGAAGCAGGGGGGGAAAAATATTTATATGATTCAGGCACAGAGAAAGTCAGAATGACGAGAGGAAAAGATCACAGTGGAAAGTACAAGTGTGTGCAGAAATGGTATGAGAGTTCAAAGGCTCGAGTGGTGAACCTAATCCCTGAAATGCAGCAGAAAAGAACTGGTAAAGATTGAAAATTTAGAAATTAATGTAAATAATGCCAGTTATGCTGAACTGATATTTTAACATATGTAGGAGTGCCTCAGTTGTCTGACCAAGTACTATATTCTCCATTTGTTTCACTTAGTGGTTTAAATCTCTTTCAATTGACTATTTTTTAAAAAAATTTTGATCTTACATATAATGTTTTAGCATTTCTACAGTGAAATAATTCATTTTGAAAATGGTGAAACAGGTTGTTTTTTTTTTTTTCAAAGCAGGGATATATTTTAAATAAAAATGTTAATTTACTGTGATTTTAACTTTAGTGTTTCACTCATTTGCCCCATCCTTCCCGAAGTGTCACCCAGCTTTAGCAGAAAGTTGCAGAGAATTACAGCACGCTTTGGAATTGGTGTTAGACTGATTAGTCTATTCATCAACTAATTAAAAAGAGGATTGGTGGGTAGCAAACTGCTTACAGAAACATCCATATTAAAGTCGTCTTCTGAGATATCAGAAGCAACAATTTTTGGGCTTGTAAAAAAAATTTAGGCAAAACGCACCCAGGATTATGACCATTTTTAAAGTGACTGGTTTTGCTTAAATATTGGGTGTAAGCACAATGTTAACTGGGCTGTCCTAGTGGAAGTATTCCTACACATTTATTCATATCATTCTCCCCCCTGAGGTTGTAATTTTACTCTACTTACATATACTTCATCTTTGGCTACACGAGCAATGCTGTCCAGCAGCACCCATCCCTGTCAGCAACTAGCACCTATGCCAGCATAAACTGTTAAATAAAGGGTACATATATGCCAGTGGCTGCAGACATCTTCCTGGGAGCAAGCTGGTCAAAACCCAACCAGTTCTGGTTTGGAAGCTTTACAGGTGCATTGAGCTCAGGCACAGCAATGTGACAGCACAGATATGCAGACTCCAGGCTGTTCTGCCTTCTGTCCAGCCAGCTCAGATCATGAGCAGTGTCTGTCTGCCTACAGAAATCCTTGCAGACGCACACATTAACTTTCAGGCCACTCAGTACTTGCCTTTAAAATGTAAAAACTTAGTCAGAAAATAACCCTCCTAAAACAGATGTATTCTAGAGAACATGTAAGCAGCAGGAATGTTGCTCATTTTTCAGGATAGCTGTCATGTTAATTTACTTCAAGAATAAAGCCAGTTGGATTTTTGGCATATGGGAATGAGTCATTGCTAGAGAGACTGTAGAAAAATGAAAAAAACCACCAGATTCTTCTGCGCTCTATGGAGGATGCGGGTGCTAAGAAAGGCAATGAGCTGCACTCCTCAAACTATATTAAGCTACTAATTTTTATGTTGCTTTATTGCACATAAACTGCATTCAAATATCCAGACTTCAGAAGTTAAAAATACAGGATGTCCAAGCATTCTTCTACTTGAAAACAAGGTGCGCTCAGAAATGAGATCTGTTTTGCTATAGTCATGCTATTCACAGCGCCAATTATACCAGATAAAGCACGTACTACCAAGAGTCCTTGGTGCTACAGATCTCAGACATACAAACCAGTATTTCAGTTGTTCAGAAATGCTCACCTCTCAGAGCAGCAGGGTCATTCTTGCGAGCTAGCAGTTCTAAAAACCTGATTTGCAATTGTCAAAAATTCCTCAGGGTTCAAGTTCACTCACAAAGATTATATATGGCACTCTTCTCCAGAGACTGTTCTGAAGACACAGGTATATTCTACCACTCTATTCCAATCTGAAGTTAATAAACAAGTTTTAATTTATTTGTATTTGAGTCTGGTCTGAGCTGACCAGCATATCTGCTGAAAACTATATGGCATAAAGCAAAACACTTCTTTCAAGACAAAGAATTATTCCTACCGACATTAAATAATACTGAGTGAGAAAGTGAAGTTTGTAAAGAACAAGGGCTATAAGGCAACTTTATTCATGATAATGTTTATTTTACTGGAATGAATTAAAGACTACTAAACTAAATAACTACGCTCTTACACTGGACTTGGCAGTTTTAACTTAAAAATATTTTGATGACAAAATTTATGAGGTAACTCAGGATGCTGAGAGAAAAAAAATGATTGCAAGAGGACTGTCAAACAGGAGATGGCTTGCATGAAGCTATGAATTAATTCTCCTGCTCTAATAAATTCTGGTAGTCTCTGCTAGACTGCAGACCCCATTTTGTACTCTGAACCTGAGGAACAGTATGAAGCAATTAGAAAGATTCCCAACACATGCAACAAGGTTGATGAAAGGTCTACAAAACCTCAATTCAAAGGTTGAATTGAAAACCCTGAATTTATGTTGAAGAAAAGTAAATTGAAGTAAAATCAGTATATAAAATGTTCTAGAGGCTGGCAAAGAGGGGAAGGAAGAAATTTATTCCCCAGAACCATATTAGAACAAGCAGTAACAGGCAGTTCACAATTAATCAGAGCAAGAAAAACCCTTTAAAGAAGAGCTTAACAATATAAAACAATGGCTGGGTTATCTTTTGGAGTCAATAGTAAAAGTTTAGGCAAAAACCTCTCAAGAAGAACAAACAGATCTGATCTACTTTTCAACTAGGGTATGGTCAAGATGAGTTCCCCTTCCTCCCATGAAATCCAACGTTGCAGAAGAGAGGCGTTAAGTATTTTTTTTTTCTTCTTCAAAAGCCTAACAAAAACTCCTATATTAGCCTAAGGTATTTATTTAGAGTTAAGTTTATTTCTACTCTCTTAAACCAGAAAAAGTCAGACATTACCACAAATTAGGAATCAATGAAAAACAGATTGACAATTCAAAATTTAATGATTCATGAAATAAACACGAAAAATTGAAAAGCTAATCCAATAATCTCAATGTCACAGTGCATTTCCATATCTTTGTTACAGAATATACCAAGTAGTAAATTGAAAGCAAAAGGGAAGAAACATTTTGAATTTATAAGTATAGTTTTAAATCCTGACCACAACACTGTATGTGATCGCCTTGTGACAATTACATCTGGCAGACATACAACCAACCGTAGCTCAGTGGAAAATGGGATTATCGTTATTAGCAGGCTCCTCAAAACCAGAATATCCGTTTACTCCTCTGCTTCAAAAAAGAGATTAAGACTAATCTAATCTGCAACGCTGATCAGAATACTCTCATTTAAAATTAGGCTGAAAAGATCCAATGCTCTAGAAAATCCTGAGGCAGACAGAAAACAATTTTTCTGCCTGCAGTGAACACCTTTCAGTATCTTCCTTCAAGCAGGATTTACTGAACTTTATGGATGATGAAACACACTTAATTCGATTAGGTACAGAAAAATCTAAGTCAGTAATTTAGATTGGCTTTTATGTCACGCTGATATGTATTTGTGCAACACATGGGAGGCTTGCTGCTTTAAGGTTATTAACAAGAAGCAATGTGGTTCTAAAACTGCAGACATTAAGAAGACCATACAAAGTAATTTCTTGTGACTGCCATCTTTGGGAAGATGTTTACAGATTACAGAAGCAACAACAACTGCAGTTACCAGCAGATTTATTCTTTATACCTGCTCCTGAAGACAACTCTCTGCCTAACATCCTAAGGGGTGGAACAGAAAAAATTGCATGGCGGTTGTTGGGCAATACAATTAGAATAGATAAATCTCCACAATCATCAATCCAGAACGGCTACAAACACTGACAAGCAAAACATGACTCTGATGTTCCATCTAAACAACAAAATCCAATAAACTCTCAGCTCATCCAATAATTTACAGAACAAAAGGGGGGAGGTGTAAAGAAGGGAGGGAAAGAAAGGCAAGGATTATGACTCAACAAGATATAATAATTCATTAAGATTAAAAACGCTGGAAACCAAGAATCCCAAACTTGCTGGGGGAGATAAAGATAGTATGCAACAAACAGGTCATAGCCCCTTTGTTCCTTAGAGTGAAAGACAACAGAGAACCACATTTTTACTTTTAAATACATTCAAATCCACATGGATGTACTCACCCCAGTATTTTGACATGTGTTATTCAACAAAAGCTCTTTAACAAAGCAGTTAAGAGGTCAAATAAGGGTTATACTTACTGGTAATGAACCCATGACGGACCCAGGGTTTTCTTAAACTGAGTGAGTCCCACAATATCAATGTAAATGAGTTCCACAACTTTATCCCCCTGGGTAGGGCAGCCAGATCTGTTACCTACAACCTTCTTCATAATCCTAAACAAAGAAAGAAGGAATATGGAAAAGTATGACTTTCCAAACACCTTGAATAGATGCTGTAATATAATTTATACCAATAATTCCCCTTTCCAAAAAAGCCTTACTCTTATCTTTTCCAAATCAGGAACCATGTAAGAACATTCAAATGCTAAAGATGCTCGGCATTTATTAAAGAACTGTTTATACATCAGTAAAGTGCTAATTTTCACTAAAAACCTCATCTAGTTTAAACAAGAGAGTAATATGGTTGGAATGTTTAAAAATAGTGTGCTTTGAAATGACTTGAAATAATTTCTGACTTCTATTGACAGCTTTATAGCATAAGAGCTCTCTATAAAATTATGGTGTCGTTTGTTATAAAAAAAATGAAAGCTACAGAAAAAGCATACGTGCGCAAGCTTAAAACAGATGTTTTACAGCCAAAACTGAACTAATCTGCAAAGCAAGACAAAGGTGAGGTAGCAATTTGACCCTAACATAAGCAACTAACTACTCCAAAAGTAATGTGTTTAAAGAATTTAAACGTTTATTTCAAAATCAGATACTGAGTGAAGACTAGCAGAAACTGAAGCAGAGGACAGAGAACGAGGCTAGTCTGTGACATTTCCTATTGCAGCTGGTTAAAGCACCTGGAATGTTTAAAGAATAAGCTGCTTAGTTTGAATTTTACAGCATTAATGTATGAAGTCTCAGGAGCCTGAAGCTACAATGAAAACCCATTATCCTTTTCATAGCACATATACTTAGCTCATGAAAATAATCTTGTCGTCTGTTTAGTGAATTATCACTTTCATTTTACGCCGTAAGAAATTATACAGTGTTAACAGAAGCTTCAAGAGTTTACAATTCTTTTTTTTTGCATTCCAGTTTCAAAAGTGAAAGTAATCTCCTTACTCCTTGAGCTCTGCCAGTGAAGCTGAAATCCTGATGTCATGGCCCAGTAAGTAGAGAGATGTAATTAAATCACTCCACTGGACTAATTCACCAAGTGGGCCACCGCTAAATGCATTTTCTGCAATCTTGAATCCAGATTCTTTTGTCAAAAGCCCCAGATGAACAAGAATCTGGAAAGGAAAATCATATGTTAGATTTATCGACATTAAACATGCAACATTATACCTCACAGCATTTTTTTTCTTTCCAATTATGGCCAAAAAAATCAACCAAAAAAACCCAATATTCCCAACCCCAATGATTTAATTTTGTAATGGATCTCCAGAACAGTAATTATAAGAATGTTACTGCATTGTTTTGCACTATTATCTGTCACCAGATCAGTAATTAAACAAACACCCCAAACTGGTGTTATTCACAAAATAATCTGTAACTCTGCAGAGAAAGTTGTGGCTCACACTAACTTGTTTGGATTGAATAACCGTTTATCTTCTCCAGCAGAATATATTTGCTTATGCAAGACAGCATAGTTAAGGAAGGTTGTGCTACATACCTGGTCTCTTATTTGAGTGTGGGTACATACAGTGCCAGGCATAAAAACTCCCAAACACCAAACATATTTTCTCTCACTCTTTACAAAAAAGCAACATTCAAAACCTCCTTTTGTTCTGATCTCTTGCAGCTTCCAGAACTGAACTTGACACATTAAAATGAAAAAACTTTTAGCTTTATCTTAACCAGTTGAGGTAATTAAAAAAAAAATTAATCAAATAAAACAGAACTTTTCACTTCAAGAATCTCAAGGTTTTTAAAATGAACTCATTAGAGGAGGTCTAGTAAACTGAATCCAATCCAAAGTTCTGGTCAACTTTACGTCTACTCAAATCCGAAAGAAATATGCCATTCAAAGTCTCAATTTTGGACAAAGACGATGTACCATTGTTGCTTTCTATGACTATGTAAAACACTCTAGTGTCATCAGCTTGTACCAAATTCACAGATTCTCCTTTTAGAAACTTCTGCACAGTCTCTATTTTAACCAAAATTAAAGTGGTTAGAAAACTTACTCAAAGATTGACTCATGGAAAGTATGTAAAACTATTTGTAAAGCAAATACCCATTGCTAGAGTAATTTCAAACGGCGAAATATTTCCTGAAAAGAGGCACAAGTATAAACACGAGCCTTTTAGACATATTTGGTATTTCCACTCTGAAGTTACTTCAAGAAGCTTAAAAAAGCCTCTATGACTGCAAGCGGCAGGAATGAAAAATGTTTTACTTTACCTTTTTTCGTTTTCTCTTCTCCAAATTTTGTTTTTCTGCAAGTGATTTAATTGCTTCAATCCAGGTATCAGCCATTCGTCTGATGCGTAACATCATCCACCTGAATTCCTCATGTCTTGACATCATTTTGTAGAGATTATCAAAGTTGATACGAATTTCAGCCTTCAATTAAAGCATTAAAAATAAACCCCACAACATTAATCTTCAAATAGTGTACTCCTCACATTTTGAGAAGTTTTTTCACTTCTGGACTCTGTACTTTACATTCCTCATTAAAAAAAAAAACATTAGGAAAAAAAAAGATACACTCCTAACAGTAAAGTCACGTTCAGATTTTAGTTCAAATATTTAAGATATCTTTAAACAGACATTTCTAAGCCATGTAAATTACTGTTACTTTTATTAGTGGCATTTGGTAGCTCCGGAGTGTGTTTGCAGTGTTTCGCATTGTATTTATTTCTACAATATAAGATTTGGTTTTGTTCATGTGCTTCAAAATGAGGTTAAAGTATCTCCAAAACACAATATAAAATCAGAACAGCATGTCAAAGATTCATGTACATCATGAATCTTCCAAATAAAAAGAAGTCTCCTATTATACCATGAAGGAAGAAACATTTACTAGAGTATAAATTTTAAATGAAATACTCATTTTAAAGCTAGACTGATCTAAGAACAATTGGTCTTAGAAAATGAGACAGCCTATATCTAAATTATGTAAGCAATATTCATATACAGCCCAGCAATTATCTTAAAATACCTAAGTGCTACATAATTAGGCTATAACAGTTTAGAAACAACCCTGCAGGCTGTAGGGTTTTTAAAGGAAAAATTTACGACTAATGAAAACGTTACTACAAAACTGGAACATATATAAGCCTCTTCCTTCAAGGCATTTTTATACATAAGGTCCAGATTTATGGCACAATAAAAATGGACAGTTTCACATATGGTCACTTAACACTGCTGAACAGTCTATGGATTTGTAATTCGTCTTAGTATCTGTGTACAATATTTCATACATTTAAACACAAAAATTTCTTTAATGGAAATCTATCACCAAGACTGCAGCACATTACAATGATTGGAGAAAATACATGATGAGCTACATATATATACAGGCAAGGATGTTTCCCTTCAGTTTTGAGGAGCTGAGAAATAAAAATGGTAAATTCTAGTCTTACGAGCATTTATGTGGCACAGGATTCCAGGATGTTCTGCATGAATTACAATTACTGAATAATTCCTCATGTTTTAACATTGCTCTTACCACTGTTTTTTGATCAGTTTCTTCATTAGGATTTTTTGCTCTCCAAGGTAAACGAGGACACCAATTTTCAACCTGTAACACAATCACATGAAAATAAATCATTCTATTCTACTTTCAGCTTGTCTACCAATGTCTCTCACTGCCTTTATATGATACCTTTCTATGGCTTAAATATGGGATCAGGTGATCAGTAAGTCACTGCAAGGCAGAACTGCTTTTTGCAAGAAAAGCTTAAGACGACTTTTTGTAATTCAATACTATTTTAACCTTGCAAATTTGCAACCAAAAGTTGGATTTAGATATTCATTCATGATAAAGAATACAGGAGATAAAACCCTTTCAAGACAGGGGTCAGCTGTTAAATGTTCTAAAAACAGTTTCTCTGAGCAGTTCCTAACTGTTTTCAAAAAGCACTAAGGTTTTTATGCTTCTAGACCTTACAAAAATATATATTTTGGAACATTTCCCATCACCCTAGAATATCTTTATAAAAAGGTAAAGCCTGATAATACCCAAAGATCAAAGTTCTACCTTACAGCAAAGAAGAATAAAAGCAAAACCACTCTAGTTGAAAGGTGTAAGTAACATAATGATAACATAAGTAACAATATCCACAAGTACTCATAGCTGTAATTCTTAGAGAAACATAATCAGTACAAATGCAATACTTTTACTATTGTCTACTAGAAAAAAGTACAATAGCTAGTAATTAGGGAAGGAACAGCAAATGGATGCAAGTCACTGAAAGCTCCTGTGCTCTCCCTAGGGATCTTGCTTGTTCTGTAGAATCTTTATTATTGATGTAGGTTAAGAAATTAGACCATTCACTTTCGGGAAGAATCACAGAATGGTTTGGGTTGGAAGGGACCTTACAGATCACCCAGTTCAAACCCCCCCTGCCACAGGCAGGGACACCTTCCACCCGAACAGGTTGCTCAGAGCCCCGTCCAACGTGGCCTTGAACCCTGCCAGGGAGGGGGCAGCCACAGCTTCTCTGGGCAACCTGGGCCAGGGCCTCATCACTCTCAGAGCAAACAATTTCTTTCTGCTGTGTAATCTAAATCCACCCTCTTTCAGTTTAAAGCCATCACCTCTTGTCCTGTCCCTACATGCCCTTGTAAAATGTCCCTCTCCAGCTTTGTGGTAGGCCCCTTCAGGTACTGAAAGGCTGCTCTAAGGTCTCCCCACAGCATTCGCTTCTCCAGGCTGAACAACCCCAACTCTCTCAGCCTTTTTTCACAGGGGAGGTGCTCCAGCCCCCTGACCATTGTTGTGGCCCCCTCTGGCCCCGCTCCAGCAGCAAACCCATGGAAACAGAAACATAATTGTACTGTGAAAAGGGAGAAACACAAAACTTTATAGGGCAGCTAAGATACCCCATTGCTACCAATTAAGTTCACAACTCCCAGAGAACTAGAAGTCAGAGTTGCTCTTACAGTTCCTCCAGTCATAGACCTGTCAAAACACAATTTTAGCTTAATCATGCTGCAGTAAACCTGGAGCATTAGAGATTAACAGCTTAAGATCATATCAAATGATTGCCAAATGAAGACCAATCACATGAAAATAAATTTACAGACATCATACCCTCATTAAAGAGAAGTAACGTATCAAGCTGAGATTCCTCAAAAAATTATATAGAAGCATTAATTTGAATGGTATGACTTAATCTACTCAAGGTATTTAATACAACATTTGAAAGCAGCAAATTTATCAACCTCGTTTGAAAACATCTGATTCTTCAGTGGTCTCCAACTCTGGAAACACACTAGAAACTGTAGCAATTAGCCCTAACTTTTACTAATCTAAGTTGTGGAATCACTGGTAGAAAAGAGTTGCAAGGTCCTTATTACATGATTTGCACAGTCCTAATCTCTGGTTTTTTTAATGGTATAAATAATTTTGAATTATTCCTAGCATGAAAACTGATCTGTATTAAGATATGACATTTCAAGGACTATTGCATGTGCCCCTTTTCTGGCTTCATGTGTTTCACATCACACCATCAGGCATCCTAAAGGAACTGAAGATTTCTCAGAGGTGCCAGGGACAGTTAGCAGCATGCCTCACTGACTGAAAAACACACACAGTTCTTTTGTGCTTTTAGAAATATTCCCCCTACTCTAAATTAAATTACATTACAGCAACTCTAATCAGAAATCAACACTTAAGGATTAGTTTCAAAGTAATATCAGTCTATGCAGTTAGTCCAGCAATTGTTTTTCCTTATTGATATTCAGTCAATTCCTAGTTTCATTGGAAAGACCAAAAGAACTCACAGGAAGATTTTTAAACGCATACTCTTGAAAGTATGCCAGTTGTTTTGTTGTTTTCAGGACTGATAAATACACTGGGAAGAATGCGTAGGCATTCTCTTACAGAAAAAGGAAAGAATTCTGTTCATGTTGTTAGACATGGGGATAATAATTAACAAGAGCACCAAGAAAGCAAAGATGAAGCAAACAAATCTGACATACCATGGGAAGGAGAAAGAAGAAAAAAACTTGTTAATTTAATGTATTGACTCAAAGGAAACCAGGGATGGAGAGGCAAAATACTGACTGACATATCAGCCAAACTAGGATTACTTTAACAGTGAATTTCAGGTATTCTTAGGCAAAAAAGATCAGGGGTATATATGCCCCTAAGATGGAAACATTATGATACCAAAACCAGCCAAAATGCCAACACAAGTTCTGTTGTTCAGAACAGGAGTTAATTTTGCAGATAATTTAAGAATCAACTGGAATTAATAAGTCATGGTTCCAAGAGAAACTGAGAGGAAAAACAGAATACAGAGTGATGGCAGCAGCCAGAACAGTCAACACTGAAACTCATGCACTAGAAGTCAATTTTAGATCCTAGTAGATATTATCAGGTAGATACAGAGCCAAGTAAGCAAAAGTGAAAAACTACAGCAGTGAAGTCTACACAAGTCATAACATCTGTATTTAGAGGTGCCTAGTACTCAAGAAACACCACACTTCCAGCGCAGCCAAGGTTTTCAGAGGTAGCAGAGATATTTCCTTCCATCTCCGGTTCTTGCTTCCCTGTTTCGTGAGAGCTACAGATGATCAACAGCCAACATACACTTCGGTAAAAGGGAGAGGGGTTTCAACCTACGCAACTACACAAGGTATCTCAGACTTCAGCGACAGCCTTTGTAGAACTACTGGAAAAGGCAACAATAGCATTGACAGGCTTCTGCTACAGAATTGAAAAGCCTGCTGATTTGATGTTACTTATACAAGGTATCTAGCAGGCTGCTAAGTTTTATTGCTGCTTTCCTCAAAAAACACAGCAATTGCATTTTTATATGTATTTCAAGTAAAAAGCTTTCAGTTAATCGTGTTTTTCAATTGCACTACGTAAAATTAAGGTCTAAGAAGGTACAAAGCCTCGGTAAAGATTGTTCTAAAATCCTGTTAAGAAATAGAACTCATTTTTTTTTGTGTTGGAGTTAGAAGCAACAGTATGCACTAACCCAGATGAGTAGCAAAATGAACTTCGTACCCTTCTCTTTTTAGTCCCATGTAACGATACACAGTCGTGCAGAATACACACTACTTCTGTTGCACCTTTTCTGAAAGACGGGTAAAAATAACTTAAATAACCATACCGCTGGCCTTTTTCAAGACAACCACTTTCTGCTTTCCCTTGCTCTTTCATTATTTGGCCTTCCTCTCTTGCGCAGTGCACTAGCATTCAATTCAGTCTGAGCACTTCAGCATTTCCCATCCAGAACGTGTGATTTCTCACCTTTAAGCCTAGGAACAACTTCTAATTGCAGATCTTGGCAGGACCCAGAGTTTCGTGAGAACTTCAGATGACCTAGAAAGTGGGTTGGTGGACTTTTTTGTTTGTTTATTTTTTAGAGAACCAAGTATTGCCACTTCAGCTAATCACTTCAGGGTTTCTCACACAGAACACAACAAGGATGCCTGCAACTAAATATGAAACCTCAGCGGTTAAGTAATTTTCCTGGTTGTCTTGCATGACCCAAATATGGCCCACCACAGTAACTCTAGTTGTACTCATCATTTCTGAACAAGTCCTGCAGCTGTTCTTCTCAGATTCAGACTATTAACCACTGCCACGGGAACTTCTTCAAATAAAAAGGTGGGTGCTCTAGTTATTGAAAAATGCAGGAGGATACGCACAAAATGATCTTTTCCACAGCAAATACCAGTGAAAACTTCAACCATTTTTCTCAGGCTTACTGATGTAAGAGAAGTACCAGTCAGGTTTTATTTCAGTGAGTACTAAGTTCCAACTATAGATGTGGAAGAAAGAAACAAAAAGAATGTCTAAAACTGCTCAGACTGGCTTGAGCGGAGGCCTTCAGTCTCCTTCGTCTTCTGTCAGAAATAAGCACCAACAGTGATGCAACCTCTGTAAAACACCTGGTGCCTGGAACAACTTCTTCTCTCCTTGCTCCCAAATCGCCTAAAGCAAGCCTATCAGCTTTCATTGAAACTACTAGGGATAAGACAGAGATCGGGCAGGGAATGTCAGGGGAAGAATCAGGAACTTTATTTTGCAACACCTTTTCTGGAAGGCCCTAATACAGTATGGGGTGATGGGGCAGGGGGAAAAACCTGCTTTGGTTGATTTTGTATTATACCACCACCTAACTTGTAACAAAGAAGTCTGCAGAAAATGCAACAGCATTAAAGTGTAACTTCTTCTGGTCCAGGCACATTTGTGATTAAATAACATGTACAATGGGAAAAAATGTGTGTGTATACATACAAATATGTGTATAGATCTGTATGTATACGATTATAAACAGGAAGATGATACAGCATGTGCTAAGGCTGCAGTACGCCTCCGGTATTGTTCCCTTGATATGCACCTTGTCTGTCATTGGCAATGTTGACAGAAAGGATCATGATATCACTAAAGTGGGTCTAGGTGAAATCCACCTCAAAAATGTACAAACACTTCAGCTTTGTTTAGGTACAGAATATCCACACACAACAAGCTCCAAGTCTGAGCAAAGGGACAGAGGGCAGCAGTGTTGGTTTGGATCCTGCTCTTCAACTTGTTTACATGTATTATTTGATCATTCC